CCACTACAGCCCTGCGTACCTCCATAAACAAAGTCCGGGAGCGCACCGTAATTGGTGCGCAAGTTAAAAATAACTTTTAATAAGTAGTTTCCCAGCCGAAATCGGTTGAAATGGCGATAGTTATCCTTAACAAGCATTACAAAGTAATCTGAAACTGAAATGTCTTTAAATAACAACTAGTAAAGACGGACAAATTGTAAACCGGAGGAATCATCCACCAAACGCCGCAGTTTTTAATTTCATTCACGCGAGAGAATGCGTTTGTTTTTCGGGCAAAGTAGCCGATTTCATCCACAACTGGACTCTGAACTGGGAGTTCTAGATATATCTGGTAATCGATCATCATTTTTGATACCTGGGCATGTTATTTCATTAAAAAAGTTATATTTTTCAAAGTCCCGGACTTTGTCTATGGAGGTACGCAGGGCTGTGGTGGGGACATCTATCAATCAACCAACGCGTCCCCTTACACACAGCACTGTACGCAGGGCTAGTGCCAGGTCATCAAGTGCAAGCGAAGATGGACAGGGCATGTTAGAATCTCAAATATGCTGCTGTATGGACAACTGAAGCAAGGTCATTGCAACCAGGGAAGAATTGCACCCCTCATAAGATACAGAGCTGTAATTGCATGCCCACGAGAAACCAGTACACAAATGTACTTTCAAATGTACCCAACTCTTACTCTAACTCAAACCATAACTTTTCAGTCCCCTCAAATTAATTGTATATGCCCCTATAGCTATATGTATTCTCAAGAGGGGCATATACAATTAATTTGAGGGAGCAATAGGGGTAGGGATTAGAGTTAGTATTAGAAGTGGGGGTACATTGGAAAGTCTTTCCCAAATATTTATTACAGTGCCGCTTGAAATGGCAGGGTTCTTCCATTCCCAGTATACCCTTCTCCCCGCCAAGCACTGACACTCATTTGTATTGACATTTGCATTATGTTGTATTGATCGGCGCGAATTAACCGACAATGCCCTGTCGGTATTATGATACTAAACACCGATCGACACACAGTTCATGTACGCAGGGCTAGACACGACTGTGCAACTCATGCTATCGGCAAGACATGTTGCCTAATTTATACTTACATCAGATATTTTCCATAACACACCAGGTCGAGGTGATAAACACAGCGGACAGCTGAAAATAGAACTTGCACGTGATCAGCGTAACGCAAGTAACCTTTCACCTTCGGAAGCTACACCTCAGAGTACTAAAAGGCGCCACCAGTGGCGAGATAATAAAATACATTTTTACATTGATAAACTGATAACACTAACAACTATAAGGTATTACATTGTAAAATTATGTTGATACATTTTCCTAGCCTGTTGGCCATGAGACATGATCAATTTATTGTCCAAATTCTTAGAATGCAAGCTGTGACTTTTAATAAACGTAGTGGATTTGTCTAAGAGCTGAGCGCCAGAAGTGGCAAAACGAAAGCAATTTACATTCATGCCGTTAGCGGGATACATCCTAACGCCAATGATACTGATAACGACAGGAAACACAAGACCAACGTGACGATCCAGAAAAATAACTCAAATCAGTGAACAGAGGTAGAAATGTGCAACTCAACAAAACGAAACATATCTAAAAGAAAGACCATCAACTCAAAATTTCAGAATGTATTATGTGACCTTGATGTAATAATAAATATAAGAAAATTATACGAAAGTCGAACATTTAATTATTTTCGTTTTGCCAACTTGAGATGGCCTAGTGACAAGTGTATCGTAGACCATATTCGTCCCACTTAAGGAGGATGTAGCCGAATTGAAGCTTATATGCTATGTTTATCATACATTCAATTGTATATTTCATGTCACCAGGAAAAAAATATGAAAATAATGGCCATCGGACAATTTTTGAGATGTTATGCAAAATGTTCAAAATTGGGATTTTTACGGCAGTTTCTATGGTGAGATTATTCCTTCTTATCTTAAAATTTGCTTGGTAACATCATTTTAGATAGAACAGTTATATAATATTATTGATATGAATATAAATATTGTGAAAATATTTCATAAAATTGGCATTTAATTTAATGAGTTTGCAGGGTAATAATATTTTTGATTACACATATACAGGGAAGTTTGCATTCTCAGTAGCGAAAAACCGAATTCGGATGCGAACTTCCTCACAGTGAATGCAAGCTATTTCCATACACCTAACTCCCGCATCTGGTAGGCAGTTGCCAGGTGATTTAGCAGAGTCCCCAGACACTATCCTCGACACTCCAGTGACCGTTGTAATTATATTTTTTGTTTAATTGTTGAATGTTTAATAGCAGAAAAATAGTTATTTGCTAGTGTATATGTTTATAGTATTCCAGGGAAGTAAATGTCGACCAATCGTGTTCGGAACAGAGCATGTACGTCATTGGGGATTCAATGATTTTTTGGATTGTGACCGTGTGACCACCTGCATTGCCTGTATTAAACTGACGTTTATTGAATGGTACCATCGCGCGTGTACTGGGGCTACTTAATGGCACCATCGCGCGTGTACTGGGCTACTTAATGGCACCATCGCGCGTGTACTGGGGCTACTTAGTTTTTTTACCAACACATATAACGAAGGGTACTCTTCTCTCGATTTTTCTGAGGTGGGTACTTTTGTACGGGCCAAAACATTTTTGTTGAACGTCTAAATTTATATTTAGGTATTTCGGATATTTTAGGGATATTTAAGCATAGATTATACTGACCAAATACAAATGTGTGCTTAGTAAAAATATAACTCAAATATCAATTAATTAAATTTCCACGACTCCTGAAATACGGATTATAAAAATAATGTCCAAAACTACGAAAACGGTACATCTTTAAATTACAAACAACTGAAATATAGACTCAATCTCGAATACGATTGACCGTCATTTACCACGGTGAAATAACAAAATAAATACGATTACCAAATGTAAACAATTAATTTGTCATTAAAAATTCGAAAAAAAAAACAGACCAAAATAGCATAACCACTGTTTTGGTTTGTATCAAACATGACATGTATTGACATGATCATCTAGATGACCCATCAATCCATTTGTAATTAAATGGGTTATATTCGTGGGTTAAAGTCCGAAAATCATATTTGGTCGCAGTGACACACATCAGTCGTTGTGTTACAACGAAGCTTGATTGATGTTGTTTGGGTTTTATCTTATCTTAATTTGACCCTGTTTTGTTGCAATATGC